AAGCCTAAAAAAAGAAAACTAATGCAGCCATCACATCTAATAATTGGTAAGCTCCAATACAATAAATGTTTGCTTTTGAGTTTATATTCAAATAATCTTTATTGAAGATTTTTCAACAGGTATAATAACATGAAAAAGACATAGAGACAATGTTGGTTCTTTGTTGTAAAGATAAATGGGCAGAGGTTGACAATTCCACCATTTGCCAGTATAATAAAGTATACATTTACTTAGATGAACATATGATAATGGAAGCTTCAGTCAATTGTAAGACAACTAAGAAACGTGGGGAATAAGGGGAAGGAGAGGGTATGGGGAAAAAGGAGGGGTAAGAAAAGGAACATCAACAGTAACAACTGTCAGAGCACTAGATTCGAAGAGCAATAGCATACCAACCAGCATAGATTTACATATTCATTTGAGGGTAAGTCATCAGATTTTAACTTTACATTTGGGGTTAAGTGACCATTGAGATCAAGTGGAAGCTAAATTTGGGTATGATAGGTTGGCAATGGCAAATCGCTTTTCCATATTGCATTAGTAATTTATATAGTTAATTACCATAGTTATTGATGGGGATGTAAGCAATTTCCATAATCTGGTGATGTTATTTTTAGCTGCTAATAGAATATGGATAACAATACAATGGGACCGAGAGGGAATGCTGTCTAAGGTTATATGGAAAAAAGCTAAGGCAGGGTCTTTGCATAAAGTGGAGCCTATTACTTCTGAGATTAATTTGAAAACACTATTCCAAAATTATTGTATGGATTTGCAAGACCATAGTAAATGTAGTAGGGAGCCTAATTGTCAGGAATGGACTCACGACAGGTGGTGCTGGGGTTCACCTGCCTTGTGGGCTGCAGTACCAGTGCTGGCCAGCGGGTGCTCTCAGCAGCCAGAATCTCACTCCTGCAGTCAAGCCATCACCTGAGGCTGATTGCAGGAGGTGTATTTAAGCAATGGCCAGGCCTGCAGTCAGTGCCTTGGTGTTTGTTCCCATGAGCCCCTGTACCTGCATCCTGTCTGCTTCCTGCCTGATATTACTGCCATCGTGACTCTGCTAGAACTCTGCCTGCACCGACCCCGGCTATTCCTGACAACTCTCCTGCCTGCTCCTTTGTACCTTGTCTGCCCGATAGTTACCGACCCGGCCTGCCTGACTGCGTTTGTGTTCCCGCACATATTGTGATTTGTTGGAGGTTTGGGTTTTGCACGGTGTGTACTGTATAGTCTTAATAAATTATATTGTTTTACACCATACTTGAAGCCTGCATTTTCCTGTGTCAGTCCACACATCTCTGGTCATACCTGGATCCCTGACACTAATTCTCCTCATTGACGCCAACACTGTGGGGAATGGGTAGGATAGATTTTTGAAAGCCGGATTGGGGTTAAGTACCACTGGTGGTGGATTTTTGGGTAAGATTCCCAGGGTGTGGCACACAATGGGAGGATTTATACATGAGAGTAAAGGTTTTACTCTATGTTTGGTCAGAGAAGGATTTGGAGAGAATCAATTCCCAATTGCGGATGGGTGATGTCCTCATAGGGAGTTTTAGTTTAGTGAGAAAGGAGTAGCACAAGGATATCCCCTTTCCTGGATATTTAGATTGGTGTAAGTATTGGAATATTGGGGTTGGGAGAGTGGAGGTAGGTGGAATCTTTTCGGAGCAGATACAGTGGGTGATCTTCAGGTGGTTAAAATGTTCTGTTGTGGGTAGTAAAAATTTGTTTTGGAGCACCTGGAAGGGTATTATGCCTTCTGCGGAATAGAGGACTCGAGTAATATTACATTTTATCCACGAGTTTAAGTTGAGATAAGGCATGAATGAATGTAGGGAATTAATGGGTATCAGTATTAAGGTAGTTTCAGTGATTTGGTAGGAGAGGAATGTAGACCATGCTGCTAGGGAGGCTGTAATGCAGGGATGATTAATGGAGGTTTGGGTGTGATCTATCAATGTTCTGGTAAGGATATTTTGTAGATGAAGGGAAAAGGAATAATGATGTTTCTATAAGGGACCAAATTTTTTCCTTAGATGGATGCCAGCAATAGTATATTTGGTCAAGAAGTGTAGCTAAGTAGTATGAGTGTATATGGGGGAGACCAGCTCCTCCTTTTTGGAATGGATGAATTAGTAGGTTTGTGACACATCTAGGGCGCTTTAATTCCCATAGAAATCGGGACAATTGTTTTTGGATATTGTCGAAGAAAGCTTTGGGTGCTGGTATAGGGAGAGTTCAAAATAAATACAGTAATTTGGGTAGAACAATCATTTTTAGGGCCGTAATACAGCCTAATTTTGAAAAGCCAAACGTTCGAAGTGAGTGGATTTCTTTCTGTGAGGTAGAGGGTGTTAGGTGCAGGGGCGGACTGACCATTTGGAAACTCGGGCACTGCCCGAGGGCCCGGGGTCAGTAGAGGGCCCCATGAGATGCCCCTGGTACCTTTTTCATAGGCTTTTTTGAGTTTGGGCAAGGACACAGGGGCCCCATGATCCCCTATTGCCCGGGGACCCCATGAGTTGTCAGTCCACCCCTGGTTAGGTGTATTCCTAGGTAGGGTATGGAGTGGTTGTGGGAATTGTTTTGAAAAGCGTAGTTGAGTTTTCAGAGGTGTGTGTAGGTTCAGTATTAAAGATTTGTTTTCGTTTAGTTTGTAGTAGCAAACTTCAGAATATTGGTTAAGTATAGACCTGATTCGAGGTAGAGATTGGGAAGGTTTGGTGATCATTAAAATAATATCATCAGCAAATAAGCTGATTTTGTGTTCGGAACCTTGGCAAGAAATGTCTGTGGATAGGGACTCTTCTCTCATTTTGATCGCAAGGGGTTCAATAAGTAATGTGAAAACTATAGCGGATAGAGGGCAGCCCTGTCTAGTGCCGTTGGTGATGTTGAAAGGCTGAGACAACATGCCATCGTGAACAACCCTGGCTGATGGGTGTGAGTATAAAGACATGATTGCACTTTGTATCCAACCTGCAATACCAAATTTTTGTAGGACATCCTTCTTAAATACCCAGTGAATACGGTCAAACGCCTTCTTTGCGTCTAATGATAGGAGCAGAGAAGGTGTTTTTTGATGTTCTAAGCAGTGAATTAGACAGAGTATTCTTCTGGTAGCATCTGAGGCTTGCCGCCCTGGTATAAATACTACTTCATCAGAGTGGATCAGTTTTGGAAGATACGAGAGTAATCTGTGGGCAATTACTTTTGCAAATAATTTCATGTCCGTATTTATAAGAGATATGGGTCTGTAATTTTGTACGAGTTGGAGATCTTTGCCCAGTTTAGGGATGGTCGTGATGGTAGATTGTAGCATTTCGTTAGGTAGAGAATCAGAGGTTGCGGCATGATTGAAGAGGTTCATTAGATATGGAGAGAGGATGTTAGCAAAACATTTGGGGAGAATGGTTCTGAGATTTCTTGGATTTGAGATGGGGATAGGGCTGGTAGCGAGATTGAATTTATGAAATGTTGTATTGAGGTGGAGGTCAGTTGGATTGTTTCTTTGTCATCTTTGAGATTGTAGAGAGATTGGTAATAGTCGTCAAACACGTTAGCTATGTCCAGAGGGTTGGTTACCGGAGCGTTGGAAAGGGGGTGTCGTGCAGAGTTTATTTTAGCTTTGAGACGTTGGTGTTTTACTGATCTGTAGGTTGAGGTCATATATGAATAGTAGTAAAGAGAAAAGTTTGTTTCTAAGTTCCAACAAGGAAGATGAATTGGTATCTGAAGGGTCGTGTTTGTTCAATTCCTCTCCTTTTAATGGCTATTAAAACCTCTTCAATCTGACGTCTTCTCTGGTTAAAAATTTGTGAGTTTATTTTCATGAGGATCCCTCTCATGTAGGCTTAGTAGGTGGCCCATAAAGTAGTGATAGAAATATCAGGTGCGTTGTTTTTTTATCAAAGAAGAGAGAGTGAGCTTCTATGATAGTTTTCCGATTGGTAGGATTTTCCAGAAGAGAGGAGTTAAGTCTCCATGGACGTGAGGTGAAAGATTTATTTGAGTGTCCTAGGGTAATGCTTATAGGAACATGGTTGGACCATGTAATTTTGCCTAACTCTATTTTGTAGGGTCCATTTGTCGGTGAGGAAAAAGTCTATCCTTGAGTATGAACATTGAGAAGGAGAGTAGTATGAAAAGTCTCTTTCTGCTCCATGTTGGCATCTCCATATGTCATATAAGTCATTGGTATGTAAGAAATGGTTCAGAGAGTGAGCAGAGGGGCATTTCCTGAAGAAGAATCTAGGTTTATATTTCCAATTATGTTGAAGTCTCCTCCTATGATTAGATTGCCTTTTTGAATAAGGAAATCTTGGTAAGTAGATGTTTACAGAACTGTATTTGGTTAGCGTTCGGCCGTATACGTTGACCAACGTGTGTTGGGTGTTGTTAATGTGGCAGGTCAAGATGCGAAATCGGCCTTGGGGATCAGCATATTCTGAGATAAATTGGAAGTTTACTGTATTTTTAATTGCTGTCAGAATGACGTTTTTCTTTTTGGAGTTAGTTGCCATGTAAATAGTTGGGAATTGTTTGATATTGAAGTTGGGTGGTTTTTTTTGGCAAAGTGTGTTTCCTGGATGAGGGTTATTTCCGCTTGGAGAAAACAGGCTTCCTTGGTTAAGGTTGATCTCTTGAAAGGAGAGTTAAGTCTCCCTAATGTTAAGGGATACTATTTTAAGAGCCATAGTTGTGTAGATAGAAGGTTGGGAGCTGCTTCAAATGAAATATTGAGTCCTTTAGTACTCAGTGTCCGTTTTTTGAAGGTAATCATTATTAACTAGTTGCCGACCGCAGATAGCCGAATGACGGCTGCACTGCGGCCGGCCAGTTCTGAGTGGACGTCATATGACGTCCTCCCAGAACGCACTCTCCTGTGCGCCCCAGGGGGCGCGACACCCGGCGATCTCCGTGATCGCTGTGTCCTACGGACACAGCTGATCACGTGATGTGGTAAAAGGCCAATCACAGCGGCCTTTTACCAAGTGATCAGTGGTGTCCAATGACACGCTGATCAGAGGGAAATGCAAGTGCCGGTTCTCGGCTGCACTTTCCTCACGCTGTCAGATCGTGAGGAAAGTACTGCCGAGAACCGGCAGTTGTCAGAGCGGGGATCGGCACCGATCATCAGGGCACTGATGATCAGTGCCCTGATGATCGGTGCCCAGCAGTGCCACCCGCAAGTTCCGCCCACCTGTGCCCAGCAGTGCGCCCACTAGCTCCGCCCACCTGTGCCCAGCAGATCACCCACCTGTGCCCAGCAGTGCACCCACCTGTGCCCAGCAGTGCACCCACTGTGCTACTCTGCAGTGCCACCTACCTGTGCCCAGAAGTGCCACCTACCCAGTGCCACCCACCTGTGCCCACCCACCTGTGCCCACCATTGCCACCCACCTGTGCCCACCCACCAGTGCTGCCCACCAGTGCCACCCACCAGTGCAGCCCAGCAGTGCTGCCAGTCAGTGCCACCAGTCAGTGCCCAGGGGTTGTGCCAGTCAGTGCCGCCAGTCAGTGCCCAGCAGTGATGCCAGTCAGTGCCGTCTATCAGTACCCATCATCAGTGTCACCTATCAGTGCCGCCTATCAGTGCTGCATATTAGTGCCGCCTATCCGTGACACCTCATTAGTGCTGTCTATCAGTGCCGCCTATCCGTGCCACCTCATTAGTACTGCCTATCAGTGCCCTTTAGTGCTGCCTATCAGTGCCCATCAGTGCCGCCTATCAGTGCCCATCAGTGCTGCCTCATCAACGCACATCAGTGAAGGAGAAAAAATACCTGTTTGAAAAATTTTATAATAGAAACAAAGAAACTTTTTTTTTTTTTTCAAATTTTTTGCAATTTTTTTATTTATAGCGCAAAAAGTAAAGCGCCCAGTGGCGATTAAATACCACCAAAAGAAATCTCTATTTGTGAGAAAAAAATGATCAAAATTTCATATGGGTACAATGTTGCATGACCGCGCAATTGTCAATCAAAGTGCGGCAGCGCTGAAAGCTGAAAATTGGCCTGGTAAATAAGGGGGTATAAGTGCCTGGTAGGCAAGTGGTTAAGGTCCATTAGTAATTCGTACGAGGTAAGGGTATAAGTGAGAGAGTTCTGTGAAAGTAGGTTGGGTTGCTTACATGCAGATTGCGTGGTTTCTGTTGACTTAAAAGAGATGGAGGAAGTAGGAAGATTAAGACTGGTTGTTTCAGCAGATAGCTAGTGAGTAAAGAAAACATTAAAAAAATCTTGTTCATAATACAAGAGAGATGGGTAGCAAAATTAGCTACTGTTAACTGGGGGTGAATCGATAGCCATGACAATAACAGATAGTCATGGTGTAGAGAACTTGTCATTCTGTCAAATGTGAGAACTAAGCCGAGCCATTTCGTCCGTTAGTGTAAAAAAGGAGATGTGTAGTAGGATATTGTAAGGGAACGGGGACCCTGGTCAGGCCCAATCCCCATCCATATGTTGAGGATGGTGTGAGGTGCACTGAGGGTCTTCCACTGGTAAGATATTCCATTGCTTCAGTAAATCAATACCAGCTTCCAGACTTCTAATAGTTAAGTATTTGTCGTTTAATAGTAAGCTTGTAATAGTAAGCTTGTAAGGTTTCCTATGCCATGGTTGCGGAGTGCTTTTGTGACAGAAATTTATTTTTTCCTGTTGCTGAGCGTCGCCTTAGGTAGATCAGCATATAGTTTGATATAGTTTGTGGGAGAGGTGTCTGAGCTCTCATTGCCACCATGAGCTTTTCTTTGACATGGTAAAAATATATTCGTGCCAAAGCGTCTCTGGGCACTGAGGCAGGAAGAAATGTGGGTTTTGGAATTCTATGTGCTCTGTCTATCACTAGTTCTACATTTGTTAGCGATGGCATGAGGTGTTTCATTAGTTGTTGGAGATAGTACATCAGGGCATGAGGAGTGACTGATTCCAGAATGCCACAGAATTTTATATCATTATGCCTTGAGCTTTCTTCCAGATCCGCTATTTTGAGTTTTAATTGTTTTAGTTCTGAATCATGTTCTGTATGTGTGTGTACCATGCTATTGTGGGCCGTGTATAGGTCGCCCATTCTTTTTTCAATATGGTTCAGTCATTTCACGTGTTCTTGTACAGTGTTAGATATAGGAACTATAACCGCTGAAATGTCGCAGTGTATAGTTTGTCTTAATGACAGTAGCATATTTTTCATTGTTATCTCAGAAACTGGCTGGTCAGATGCTGGAAATGCTTCAATGGCAGACTGCAGCTGTGACTGAGCTTCATGTGGGATGGCAGGTATGTGGGGTTCTGTGTATGTGGGATCCTCTATTCTTGGCCTTTAATTTGCTGGGCTCATGGTGGAGGGGGACAAGGGAGGAGAACACTCACCCGGGTCCCTGTCATATAGTGGCATCTGCAGCCTTGGATCAGGGTGGTATTGCTGTATATCCCTTGGGATAGCAGAGGAGCCATTTTGCAGGCCATCGGCACCATCTTGGCTGCAGGGATCGTGCGCCAGATAGAAGTCTGTCAGCTTCCATGGCTGACAGGGAGATTTGCAGCGTCGGGGCATAGTGGTGGGTGTTGCCGAGGGGGAAGAGCATCCGCTCAGTGAGTATATTATCTCCTGTTGCCGGTGTTAGCCAGTATTCGGGCCGGGGTGGCTGAGGAGCTCCATCAGTGAGAGTCCATCACCGGTGCCGGCCACGCATGTGCCCCCTGCTTTTGAAATTAATACTGTTTTACTTTTTTATTCATCTTCATATTCTTACAGGCAATTATTGAACTAATGAGGGTCATCATTTCAAGCTTCCCAGGACACTGTTTTTATATGAAAAAGTAATATGGATTATCAGTTTGATGCATACATCTACTGAGATCACTAATTATATTGACATTTAAATAAATATTCCAGATTTAAAGGTGCCTATAACCCATTGTCACATGAGCAGCCCACTTTCAGATGAATTTGGGTGTCATCTAAAGTATCAGCTATTGAAATCAGGTATCAAGTGGAAACCAGACAAATACTTGAGTCAAAATGGCAATGTTAATCAGAAAGTTAAATGACTGTTATATCACTGTTATGAGAGGGTTGTGGAAAGAGGCACCCCTTCATATTACTAAATAGAGGTTTCAGAAATAGACATTAGGATTTCTTGTAAATTTGAAAGCCCCTTTACTTTTTTTTCTCTATTTCCAAAACTCTCCCAATCATTTAGTCTTCAACTAAATATACAAAAGGCTAGTTTACCAAGGTCTACTTACCATTGCCTTGCAGGTCCCCAAACCAGGAATCCTTATTATAATAGCAGCTTATTAAAAAGAATACTGTCTCATTATTAGGTCAATGACATCAAAGGTGATTTTAAAAGCAGGGTCCCATACACACAACTAGTGTACTTACTTACATAAATGCCTATCATAAGCTAAATATTCAATTTGTCCACAAACACCTGAGATGGAAGAAAAATTTCAGGGACATCATTTCTGTTTTTCTCTAACGCGGTGAGCTCTAAAGTGATTTTAATGCATTGCTTATTTACAGTTATTGTAGCTTTTTGCAGTTGCACACATAGCTTTGAGGTTATATATACAGTATTTGTTATTAGTTAACTCTCATCATTTACATTTTGTGAAACAATTGCGAATTAGATTGTATTTTATATTATAAAATCTTAATTTTGTAGCTTATATTATAAAATGGTATTTTGTCATGTTCGATTATGATGCAATTCAGTTTATTATACATTATATATTATCAATATATCTGTGTCTTTTTATTCAATAGGTTCTGTATTTTTAGGAAATAAATAGTTTTTGCTTTCTTTAGTTTTTTTTTTTAAATAATGCAAATTTTAAGAATGAAAAATGGTATTTCAGGTTTCTTTTAGTACACTTTTCCCCTTGCAATATGCTGCAAGACAAAAAGATACATTTTGGTCAAATTTGAACACAAACATAGCCTACTTTGTTAGTAGTTCTGTTTTTCCTTCAGATATTGAATCAATCCACCCCAGTCAGTTTTGTCTGTAATCTGGTGATCCTGGAACACATATGCTAGTCATACTGGAACACCCTAATTTTCTCCCTGCCCTATAGAGCTGTATGTGCCTGTGCTGTAGAGGACAACACAGGAGTCGGATAAAGATACATTTTGAAAACTTTCTGATTTTAACAAAATTGCTCTGCTACCAATTCATTTCAGTAGCTCACTAAATTTGCACCAGAGATTGGTGTATGTGTGGAAGTTTTACTTTTCAAAGAATATCCAATCATGTGCAAGTAAAATAAAAAAACATTTTTGTTTGCATATGATTGGATGATGTAAGTCAGAAGAGCTTCATCTTATTCATTAAGTTCAGGGGCAAATTCCCTTTAAAGGTAAAAAGTATATGTGACATTAGTAAAAAAAAAGAACCCTATGTGTTAAAACAGAGGTGTTAGTTGTATACAGGGCTTTTTTTTCTCAGAGGAAAGGTGGTGGAACTCCCCCACCCAAACCTGGCCACGCCCCCATCAAACCCTAGGACCACCCCTTTAGAGAACAGGAATGCAAGTAAAATTTGGGAGGGGCTATAAAAGTAAATGTATGGAATTAAACACCCCCCCCCCCCCCCACATTAGTAAGAATAGCGAGTAACACTGCCCCCCCCCCCCCACATTAGCAAGAAAAGCGAGAAAAATTGTATCGCCGCTCCTTACCTGATGCTGACGATCCGCGCTATGGTAGGATCGACGAGCAGAGGGCGTGATGACGTCAGCGCGCACCGCCGGGTGTACTAAGATACACCTTTCCTATGGGGGTGGCCGCGCGCCCCCGATGTTTACACGCTGGCGGTAGAGGGGGGGGGGTGAAGCGTGCATGTCCCCGCTCACCGGCTGTGAGCAGCGGCAGTGACAGGTGCCGGGCACGCAGCAAGCATGACATAAACAAGCCGCGTCCGGCACCTGTCACTTTCGCTGCTCTGCATAGCTTGTCAGCTCTGCAGAGGCAGTCGGTGAGCGGGGACAAGAAGAAAAAGGTGGCGGAACGCAGTACCGCCGCGTTCCGGCAGAAAGAAAGCCCTGGTTGTATATATTTTCAAATCTATGCAGAAGCCACACTGCCTCTTCAAGGCCCTATATATTGTGGTTCCTAACTCTAATGTGTAGGTCCCAGGACATACACAACAATAAAGAGTATAACCTGCTTAATCTGACATGTTCCATTATCATCTGAGATCAGTAGTGGAAGGCTTTGCCTAAAAAAAAATAATAATAACAAATATAAAGAAAGACATAAGAGGATGTGTAGTCCAAAATTGGTTCAAAATGCTCTTTACTTGTAATGCCAAGCACCTATAGCACAAATCACATTTTAGCAGTAAACCAACATTTTGAACAACCACATTGTTTTTCAAGCTGATTTAATATGTATATATTTTTTCATACACAGAAAAACAAATCATACAACATATAGCCCTTTCCATCCCACCTTCTTACTAAAAGTACCACTAGCACTGCCATCTCTGCCCATATTCTAAACCTCTGAAAG